TAATATAGTATAATATACTATAGTATAATATAATATAGTATAATATAATATAGTATAACATAATATAACATAATATAATATAATATAATATAATATAATATAATATAATATAATATAATATAATATAATATAATATAATATATTATTATAATATAATATATATATTATGATATAATATATATTAGAATATAATAGACTATAATAGAATATAATAGAATAGAATAGAATGTAATACAATATAATGAATTTTACATTCTGAACATATATACATTGAACGTTTTAGAAGGACATACAACGGTTCACCATGTTTCTGTGCGCTTCTTGTACATATGTGTATATATATATATGTACATACACATGTGTACAACACACATGAGTCTTCACCCCTTTAGCCTCGAGCCGGCTTGCAAACATCTTACGATTCGAGGCACCGGAGACAAGGATGTGGGAGAATCTTCCAGGAGTCCAGGAAGAGTTGTAGCTGTAGACAACCCAGACATCGATCGTGGCAGGCCAGCCTGCTGGCGGCTTTTGCTGAGTTGCATGTTGTGTACACACTGTTCGTGCCTGCATAGAGCATGCTAGGTATATACGCACATACCTAGTCTGTGTTTGCAGCATGGCCTGGTTGTCCTCTTTCGTCACCAGGCTGAAGTTGAGCTCTTTTTTCAGCTCCTGTTTGCCAGAAGCAAAGCACATCAGTGATGTATTGTACGCGTGTTTACACGTGCATGCTCCTGCACATGTGCACTGTATGTAAGTCTACTTAGAACCTTAGAAAAAACCTCGAAGCAGAACATCATGTACCCCGGCCCATATGCAAACACAAGCGTACACACAAACCTGCACATGCATGGCACTTTCCCGCACAGACACACACATGCTTACTTTGACTGACGTGCACAACTTGGTCCTCTATCTCCTGAAGCAGCCTTTGCTCTTCCTGCTCCGGAGTAGCTTTGGCAGCCTCGTTCGAGACTGCCCGCACCCCTTCCTGCAGTGTAGCACAGCTCCATCTCCCAGACATCTCGAAAAAAAAGCTTCTAAAATAGAAGCTCTTGCCCTTGCTAGCTTGAGCTCAGGCGAAAACCCAGCATGTCACACTTATATGCAGCACACGACTCTGAGAGGCACGACTGGCACAGATGGCTCGGTGGCTTCAGCTGCAGTACGACGACAAGAGGCCAGACTTCTTTCTCTTCCGATGCGGACAAACCACACCAGCCACGAAGCGACTGTTGTCAGAACTTTGTTGGTCTCGAATTATGTCAGCATAAAACGCTATGTTGGGAAAGGCTTAAAAACCGGGTTGTGCATTACGCTATTTTACGGGGTTTGTACGCGTGTTTACGGGGTTTACACGCTGAGATTACGGGTTCCTCAAAAGTGGTGTGCAGTTGCAGTTACGGGGTCGGCCGGGAAGATTTCGGGTTATTTCGCGAAGGTTTTGGTGTTTGTGCGGGTTTTTTCGGGTTCCTGGCTACTTGCCTAACTTTCGAGTAGTTAGTGATGCTATAGATGCTGTTAAGGAACGATAAAAGTGGGATTGCAATCGTATAAGTAGATTTAGAAACTATATCGGAAATCTTGGGGGCCAGTATGATATGCGTTTTGAATAGCTGACTAGAAGCAGAGCCTGCGGGAAAACTTCGACGACTGACACGGCCTTCTGCATAACACCGATCCTATTAAGCGTGGCATGAACTGGATCTGCTATATGGTCGATCGATGTCAGAAGTCGATGAAATCCCGGCAAAGCGACCTAGATGTGTGGCACATGACAGCGCCACTCTTCGGGGATGTGGAGCCCTTTCCCACACCGCAAATACACATACACATCTGGAAGCAGGGCATTGCTGTAATAACCCTGCTCCTCTTGAAAAGTCTCCTCCAAAAAAACCTTCAGGGCCTGTACTGGCTCCTCTGGATCCGGTGGACAACCCATGGCAGTGGCCTTGAGCTCAGGCAAGATCTTTGCAACGGCCAGCCCGAAGTGAACTGGATACTTCCTTGGGCTGCAGTGGACATATATATATATATATATTTTTCTGGGTCGTTAAACTATGTTAAGTCGAACGGCATGGCCGAAGGATTGTCAGTAAACTATTGCAAAGACAGATCGATCGATAGAATACCAGCTTGGTTTGATGCTTCAGCTAATTAGCAGCTATATTGTAACAGAACAGCACATACTCAAATCCTGTCGAAGCCTCTCTGTACCCTTCAACTGACTAGTTCCAGAGAAGCGTTCCTTGCCACTCGGATGCTTCACCCGGGTGACCGTTTTGATTTTACCCAAGTTGCACAACCTCTGTGTGGCCTGCACTTTATCTCGCTGCAGCTTGCGGACGGCGGGGGAATTGGAGTAGGCATATTGGCGCTTCAAGGATGTGCCGAAATAGTAGCCCATGTACCAGCCAACTCTGGACACCTGGGGCTGTGAATTTATCTAGCATGTAGATCTCGTATATATATATATATAGATAGATGGAGTACTCTATAATTATAGATCGAGTTATCATATCTCTCTGTGTATATTTCGATCATATATAGATATATAATGTGTATGATAGCATCATGAGCCATATTAAACTCCTTTCGAGATCTTATGCTTTATCCATATAACTATACAGAATATATACTGCATATTTGGTTTAAAGGATAAATCTCTTACATTGCTGAGGAAGCTGCGGCAGCCACACCGTCGTTTCGCATGAGCGACGTGCACAGGCCCCGGAAAGTTGGGTAGTATTCCACACTGGATCCCCCAGGTTGCTCCACGATGAAAGTTCCCCCCAGTGCCACCGTCAAGGCACATAGGAGACAAACCCTGCATCACAAGTTTTTCGGGGCTTTCGCTAGTCAGCGACGACTATATAAGCGCAATACCCAATAGCTAGAATAATGCTGTAGGCGGGTTTTTAGGGTTTTCGGGCTTACAAGGCTTTAGGGTGAAATAGATATATTTGTCTATAATTGAGACGGTCTGAAGGGTTTATATATATATATAATATAGACGGGATGAACAGGTAGCCTAGCTTATATACTTGTAGAAAAGAAGCATTAAATCTATTGGCATCCCTCCCTATTTCTATATATATATATATATATTTATATATATATATATATATATATATTTATATATATATATATACATATGTATTTACTTATTTATTTATCTTTAGCTGTGGATATATAATACTACATACATGAAATTGCCAAATTAGCTGTACTCTATAGAGATCATCTTCTCAAGGTTTGCTTGTGCATCATAAGTACAGACCCAGAACTAGACGACACAGTACCGTTTTGCACCACGACCTGCCTTTCGACCATAAGATTACCCTCTTGCACAGTTGGTCGGAAGTCGTGACCGGTACTGGAAGAAGGGCTGCGACCGGACGTCGATGCATTCATCGAAGAGAAAGACGAGCATGTCAGACCGAACCAAGCCACGAACTTGTAGGAGCGACACTTCAGGAGAAAGATGATCCCCAAACTTGGTTGCTCGTTTCGATCTACATGACAGAAATGAACTCTCCATACGAAACCAGTTGAACGTATGAACCCGCAACCCCCTAAACAGGCATCGTAGAGTAATCTGTCACTTACATTGAGCTAGCAAGATCTGCGTAACTTAAGATCCCTGAGCCTAGCATTCCCGCGTCTCTTCTACGTTTTCTACTTATCCTTTCTGTTGGCCTCTTTTATTCTAGCTGTCCTTTACTGTTGAGAACGCTTCTGGTTTGTTTTTCACTCCCTCCTCCCCTCTCCTCCCTCCTGCTCTTGCTCTCTCTCTCTTTCTTTGCCTGTCTCGCTCTGCCTTTCTGTGAGAACGGATGTCCCTTCTTGTCGTTTGGGTTTGATTCGGACTCCCTGGAACACCTGCTGCCGTCCTTTGTGTGCTTGCCATACTTTAATCCATGCAGTTATACGCAAGTAAATCAAAGATAAGCCAAGCAGCCAGAATCCCGCAGGAGTTGTTATGTCCATGAAGTTCGTTGTACCCAAATCAGCAGAGTCTCGATAGTCTGCAAAGTATTGGATATCGAACTTTGCGCCACGAAATCCCCGAAGTCGAACCGCCCCAGTCCCATTAGCATGGCCCGCGAAAAACTCGAGCCAGTCGTACTCCTGCATGCCGTAGCAATGTCAACGACTCGCAATAAATCAGAACAACCAAAGACCCTGCCGGCCTCGCCCAGGTCGTACAGACCTTCCGTCCAGATGGTCATCAGGACAATGAGAATAAATGCCTCGTTGGGTTGATTTTCAGGATATTTCTGTAGGCTTTGAAGTAGGCCAGGCCGCAAAATACCACATATCATACACATGCATGCATGTATACATGCATACATTGCACCTATATATGTATTCATGATGTATGCATGTATGTCTGCATGTTTGTACACATACATATACAGGTTCATGTATATGCATGTTACATGCATATAGGAAGGTATATGAATGCATGCATGTGTGTATATATATTATACGTATGACACCCATAAGACCCGAGTCCGAACCCTCAATCAGGAACCCGCCCATACCCTACACCACCTATGGAAAATTAACCCATAAGGAGCCGGAGCTTCCGGGCATCCCCCATGCATGGTCTATAGAGACAGGGGTGCTGGAGGCTGATGGTTTGTGTAAAGTCAGGAGTAACATTGTGAATCGCAGGGTTTAGGGTGTTGCTGGTGATTCGAGAGTTGCGAGATTCAGGGGTTCACGTTATAAGCCATACAGGTCTTCGGGCTTGAATTGGTTGAGCAGCTTGGCAGGCTTGCGCATCTGAAGATGGAACCCTGTACCAAAGAAACCCTAAAGCCCCACATAAGACCAACTAGAGCAAGCTAGAAGCTCTCCTAGGTGATGCATGATTTTCGGGTGACCTAGGTGGCCTGCTATTGTCAGTGCTTCACAGCAAAGTGTGTGTGTGTGTCTGTGTTTGTGTGTGTTGGCGCTTCCATCGAATCTAACATATCGGGAAGCTACAAAATTGCATGTGGTTCTGGTAACCTAGCTAATTTAGGCCGGAATACGTATATGCATCACACCGCTATGTAAAAACCAAATACTTACCAGTGTGCGTGTGCCTGTGTCTGCATCACGCTTGTCGCCTTACTTTATGCTGCTACGATCTATCGATCCCCGACGGGCCACCTTCGGAGCACCCAGCTTGTGCAAGCGGTAGACCAGCAAATCGACAGGAATCATCGCTGCACCGGCAGGATTCACAAAGCCAAGCACGGAAAAACACAACAATCCCCACAAGCAATCCCTGCATGGATCGGAGCTAAAGTGGAAACCTTGTCGGGAACTTATGGAAGATAGGACTATACATCCTGTGCTCCAGATGGAACTTAAGTTGCATGTCGAGACTGCAGAGCCCCTGCTTTCAATGGCATCGGTTGGGACGGTGGTATGCTGACAAAGCCAGTCTCGAACAACTGAGACAGCAAGCACAACGAATCAACACATGCCCGCTTTACGCTTGGACCTCTTGAACCTGTTGGAACGACGAGCATGCGTCTGCTTGCGGCCCTTGCGGCGAGCCATCGCATGAGGGGACCTTGGACACAGTGGAATCGATTTATATCTGGGGGCATTAGGAAGATTCTGCAAAAGCACTCGTGATGGCGACACATTGCAGTCTTACACCATACGCAGATACAGCATCCATAGAGCAATCAGTGAATTGCATCGCGAGTTTTGCTCCGGGTGCACTTTCTTCTACCCCAAACCAGTCGAGACATGGCGTGAGATCCCTGGTTGTCAGAGCCAGCACACCAGCCACTGAAGTTCCCACAAGGCACTATTCCAACCAGACCAAGTATTCAACCTTATATACAAGCTACACAAACCTTATGAGAAAACCCATATCTATATCCATAGTCGTCTATGCAAATATAATTGAAGGAATCCTTGAAGCTGGTGTGTGCAATACCCTGGCAACCGTGCTTCAAGCACGAGCTGATGCACATGCTACTACCGGTGCTTCAAACGCACGCGGGCTACGCAAGGTTCCTGGGAATGACTCCCGCCCTGCTGTCACGCACAAAAACAGCCGGATATACAGTATATGCACCTAGCCAGCCACAGCCCTAAGCACGGTTGCTCGACCCAAAACCCTAGGCATCAGCATTAAACTGAGCCCATGCAGCATGGCCTGCTGCCTTCCACTTCTCCTTGATTTCCAGGATCAGCTCATCCTCGGTGTCAGTGATGGCCAAAGAATCCAGCTGCTCAGCCTGGGATCGCAGAGGCCGGCACTGATTGGGAACAAGGCTAGGGTATGGGCTTCGGGGCGGCTGGGTGGCCTTGAATGCAGTAGCCTAGCTGTCATATATCCTCCATGCAGGATCGAACATTCTATCTGGATGTGTATTATATATATATATAACCATGCAAATTATAGCATGATTTAAGACACTGGCTAAATCTGATTCTGTGTGTATGTGTATATATATATATATGTTTATATATCATGCACATACCAAAGTATGAACCGCGCTGATCTATACATAAGGAAGTGTGTGTGTGTGTGGGTGTTAGGGTTTATAGGGTTTAGGGGTTTAGAATTCAGGGGTTTAGGGTTTAGGGAGTTTAGGGTATGAAATACAGAAAGAGAAGTCAATGTGCTGAATGACAGCTCGTGTGCCATGAATCGACCACAAGCCACTGCATGGCACAGCCCCGCGTTACACTTCGAGAAGCTGAAGAAGCCCACATCCGACTTAGCATTGCTACCGTCCTCCGTCTGGTAGTGCAATGTGACACCACAGGAGAACCTTGTCCAGTAGATGTTCAGACGGGTGCTGCCTTTCAAGGTGGGCAAGAAGGCTCTCACCTGTGTCTTGAAAGCCATGAAGTCCTCAGTGTCATAGTCGATTTGGCTGACCCAGTCTCGCACGGGGTCAATGTCATCCAAGTTCTTTCGGACCTTCGGCGTGCTTGCTGCGGCGCCTGTGGCGGTTGCGGCGTCAGCTGCAATCTCCTTCTTTGCCTTCGTCTTCTTGCGGCTCGGCTTCACCTTTTCATCATCTGCTGCACCCTGAGCCGCAGCCGTGGCCGTTCGCGAAAGCTTCGCCTTCGCTTTGGCCTTGGCCTTGGCCTTGGATTTTGGCTTGGCTTTGTCCTTCGGCTTCTCGGGGCCTTTGCTCGAAGAGGCCTTCTCAGCCTGCTTCCCCCGCTTCCTGCGGCTCAGCACAGGCTCAGCGAGGCCGTCCTCATTCACCCTCCAGTCCCCTGCGTACTCATAGCAACCAGTGTCGTCCCAATAGTACCCGGGCTCGCCCTCTTCATCATACCAATCGTTTCCCCACTCGTCCGCATACCAGCGGCCCGGCATCCCTTCATCCCACTCATCCCGACGATTGGCCGGCCACACTTTGATGCTCGCACCCCGAGACTTCTTAGTCTTCTTCTTCAGCCCGGACTTGGCCCTCAACAGCCCCTTCTTCTTACCGTTGGCCTTGGCCTCTCGGTTCGCCGCCTTCTTGTCCGAGCGAAGGCCAAGTTGCTGACGCCGAAGAAGGATCTCCTGGAGCGAAAAATGTATAGAATCTATAGTGTATATATGGATATGACCGATTAAGTTTAGTTAACTCTGCCTTTATATATAGACCCATGCAGATATAATCCACTACTCTAGTTGTGAACTTCTCTATGCCAAAATCTGTGACCCTCTGGTTCCAGTAAGTGGCCTAGGTGTGGCCATGCGTGTGTGTGTGTGTGTGCCATGTGTGTAATATGCACATATCATGGACAGAAATCCTCCAAGTTCACATCTTCAGCTAGACGGCCAACCTATAGCTACTTTAAATCTATTACCCCACAAAGTAGCACAGCATATCTGTATAGAAATACATAAATATAATACCACATTCGATAATATGATATATAACAAAATAGAATAGAATAGAATAGAATAGAATAGAATAGAATAGAATAGAATAGAATAGAATAGAATAGAATATAATGTAATGTAATATAATATAATATAATATAATATAATATAATATAGTATACTATACTATAATATAATAGAATAGAATAGAATAGAATAGAATAGAATATAATATACTATAATATAATATAATATAATATAATATAATATAATATAACATAATAGAATATGATATAATATAATATAATATAATATAATATAATACAATATAATATAATATTATATAATATAATATAATATAATATAATATAATATAATATAATATAATATAATATAATATAATATAATAGAATAGAAT